ATCGTGACATAACATTGTGCCCGGCCGTGAAAATTAGTTGCGTAAATCCATTCTTAAAATCATTATTCTGAGGAGTTTTTCACAAAATTTGAACAAAAATGTTTGGTTTGATTGCAAGGAATTCTTCTCGCAGGATTTGCCAATCGGTAAGTTTTGTAAAAGTGATAGAAATTCGCGATTATAATTTTCCGAACCGGACTGATCTGTGATCAGTGTACCATCAATCATGACCATGAGTGTACTGAGCTGCGAATGGCCGGGGGGCGGGGGGGGGGGGGGGGGGTTGAACTGTAAACTACGGTAAGACTCAACAGTTTCAAATTATTATATTTGTAAAGTTTTGTATCACAGTACAAAACAAATCAGAATTTTTCAATACATCGTTTATAATTACAAATTGTTCCGTTTTCTCTATTCATACACAGTTTTCAGTGCTGAGTCGTCACAATAGCACGCTGGTGATCGTTGAACACAACAATGAATCTGTCACGCCCATCACCTTAAACACATTGACTGCCGCCTCTAAGATTGGAGGAGATGTGTCGTGTCTGGTGGCTGGAACTGGCTGTGGAAAGGTAAGAATGTCAACAGAGGATTATCTGGTTTAATAAAATTTAAAACTTGGGAAAAATGTTAACTTTTACAAAATGGATTCTGATTCAATCCAGGAGTCACAAGTCTGTTCAGAATCAACTCAAATTTTCCCTCAATTATATTCAGTAGTGAAAGACTTAACTGCCCCCCTAAAATTAACAGAAAGCTCATTGAACAATTTTTTAAGGTAATTTTCCCCTGTTTTTGCCTTCAGGTTGTTGAGGAGTTATCCAAAGTACCAGGCGTCAGCAAGATCATGGTGGCTGACAACGAAGCTTACAAAGGATTCCTGCCAGAAGCATTGACACCGCTGCTAGTTGCCACACAGAAACAATTCAACTTCACTCACATCACATCAGGGGCAACAGCATTTGGCAAGGTGAACAGACTAGAAACCTACAACTTCCTCTAAATTTTTGCCAGAAACATTCTAGATGAATCCCCCAATCCACAAGAAACCAAAGTTGTATTCTTTGCAAGTACTGTCGTTGTCAGTGAGGCCCATGTAGCTGGGCCGTACTATCCCCAATCCTGCGAAATCCTTCAAAACCATCAGATAGAATTTGAAGGTGCTGGCAGCATAAGTGTTGACTTGTTGAAATTTGTTTCAAAAGTTGATATTTTGAAAAAAAGTATGTATACCAGTTACCACACCATATGAAATTATTCCATCTGGAATGTACTTCTGTTGTTTACACTTCCTTAATTGATAAAAAAGAGTTTGCGTTTTTGTTTCACAGAACTTGATTCCAAGGCTGGCGGCTAAGCTGGATGTGTCACCGATCTCAGACATCATCGGAATCGAATCACCAGACACGTTTGTCAGAACCATCTATGCAGGTAAGATCCGTCACATCATCAACATGTCCACGCCTCCCCGGTAACTTAATGCTGACTTGTCTTCTTGTTTTACTGACAAAATTAGCTTTCATGTTAACACAAGCTGACTGGCCAAAAACTGTTCTGGTTCCTTCTGCAGGCAATGCAGTATCAACCATTCGTAGCTTGGATGCAGTCAAGGTGTTCAGTGTGAGAGGCACAGCGTTTGAGGCAGTCGAAGTTGGAAGTGGCTCAGCTGCTTCAGAACAAGGTAAAAAAAATAACAAACTATTATTATTTAATCAATTCTTTAGTACCTGCACTACACTGTATTACATTGTATTAAATTCCTTAGAAATACATGAAACCATTCTGAACGGGGCAGTTTTGGGCGGTACAGAGAGTAACAGGCAGGGCAGTTTTGTGCAGTGTAGGGACAAATGTTAAGAGTTGACACAATCTCAAGCTCTGGCATGATTTAATATTTCCTCCAGCCCCTGATCCCGGCGCTACCAATGATTTGTCAACGTGGGAGAGCCAATCTCTCAGCAAGAGTGACCGACCAGAACTGACCAGCGCCGATAACGTCATCTCAGGAGGTATGTAAAGCAGAAGGGAGTAACGGTGACACCAGTAGTTTTAGATTGAAAACAATATTGATCAAGCAAGTATTATTTTTCTTTGGGATGCAATGTTGTGTGTTTTGATTTGCCAGGCCGCGGTATGAAAAACGGCGAGAACTTTGAGCTTCTTTACAAGTTAGCCGACAAGATGCACGCTGCCGTTGGTGCATCCAGAGCAGCAGTTGATGCCGGCTTCGTACCCAACGACATGCAGGTCGGACAGACAGGAAAGATTGTCGCTCCAGTAAGTTGTTTCATTTTTTCCTCACATTGTGCTGTGATAGATTTCCTTCCCCACCCCCGATAGTGCATCCAGCTGACTGGCAAAGACTTACGAAAAAAATCCTTGGTAACATTTCTCTTGAATTTTTTTTTCAGCAACTGTACATAGCTGTGGGAATCTCCGGTGCTATACAGCATCTAGCCGGTATGAAGGACAGCAAAGTGATTGTTGCTATCAACAAGGATCCTGAGGCTCCTATATTCCAAGTAGCTGACTACGGACTGGTTGCAGATCTCTTCAAGGTAACGGAAGGAAAAACTTACCCTAAGCCTCAAGAGTTGTGGTCGAGTCAATCAAAAGTCAGATCACAAATCAAATCACAAGTTGGGTACATGTAATAAGCAACAAGGGGGCAAGCAATAACAAATAGCTTGTGACTTGACTTGAGACTGGAGGACTTGTGATGACTTGTGATTGACTTGTGATTGACTTGTGATTGACTTGCGCTGACTTGTGGTGGACTTGTGATGATTTGAGATTGACTTGTGATCAACTTGTGATTGACTTGTAACGACTCGTGATTGACTTGTGATTGACTTGCGATGACTTGTGATCGACTTGTGATCGACTTGTGATTGACTTGTGATTGGCTAGTGATGGACTTGTGATGACTTGTGATTGACTTGTGATGACTTGTGATTGACTTACGATGACTTGTGATAGACTTGTGATGACTTGCGATTGACTTGTGAAGGACTTGCGATTGACTTGTGATCGATTTGTGATTGACTTGTTATTATCCTAATGTTATTGATACCACAAAACTCATTGGACATGGCTGTTATAGTGTTCCATATTCTGTATTTGACATCAAATTTATCTTTGAATCAAATTTTAAACCATATTTGTTCTTTCTGCTTTTCTTTCAGGCCGTACCAGAAATGACGGATATTATTGAGAAAAAGTGAACACCTTTCAATGGTAGAGTCTGAGGCACATGGACTGTTCATCATTCATGGTTATGTCCTCAATTGTCTCAGAATTTGCCTCAAAATCGTGATCCTTAAAACATGCAGTGGGATGAAACAGGATTTTACCCTAAATATTTCTATCATTTAAAAAAAGAATGCTCGAATGGATAGTTGAAAAGGACATTCTCAGGTCATTTTTGTGTGACAAAAAAAATTGTATGGGACTTAAAATGTTTGATACTTATCTTTCTAGTAAAGACTTACTCTTAATTTCACTCTTTGGTCAGTAACATTTACTTTTATTCAAGCCAATGCCAATTTGGAAAAGAATTAATATGAGAAACACAAACTTCCTGTTCAAGTCTTCATAATAATTGTAAATAACTGAACAAGTTTGAACAATGGCTATTGTTAACGAGTGATTTAGTGATTTGATAAATACTGTACACAATAAAGAAGAACCACAATTACAGATCAGTAGAATATTACATTCTTTTATTGTATTTGTATGAATGCTACAATAAGTTTACACATAAAATGAACTTTGACCAAAAAAGGTCAGAGAGTTTGTAAAACAAAAGCAAGTATAGGATCAGAACACGCAATCCAGTTCGCAAGTGATTGCCTCATAGGCCAACACGCACCACTGATTACTAGCACCCATTGGCTTAAAGCACGACACTTTGCACTGCTTCCAGTTCCAATAGTTCCCCATGTGCAATGGGCGTGATTTATGTTGAAATGACGTCACCCTCACAAACCAGATAGCCAGGGCGGTTTCGGGCAGTACAATGACTAAAGGGTTACATGACCTTTTACAAATTGAAAGAGAAATAAATGAATAAAAATCTGAAATGACATCTGAATATTGTATTCTGCAGATTGTAAACCAACTTCAAGGGGTTCGCTATGTTTTTAAGCTGTAAATGTGTAGGAAAATTCTTCAAAATCATTTTACTATAGTGTCACATAAAGGCAGAAATGACAGATTTAGAGATAAACATGTTTCGTTTTTGAAGACGGCATTAAAAATTGTAACACAAAACGAACACTGCAGTAAAGGATACCAGACTCAACTTGTTTCTATTGTTCAACAAAATTGGTACTTTAAAAAAATGGAACAAAATCGCCATGTACTCCAAAATTATTTAAATAAATATCACTTTGGAAGTACGTGCATTGCAAAAACAAAAATAGTTTGAAAAGAAATTTTCACACAGTAAACAATGTTTCAGTAAATGTTTATGACTCAATTTCACTGATCCCCCCCCCCCTAAAAAAAAAATCAACACAAAATGTTATGATTAAATTCTGATACCTCTCGTTTCAGTTATAATATGAAACTTTTTGGAAGTGTTTGCTGTTTTATTCAATTGAAGCACAATTCTTTTTTTTATTAATTGGGCCAAATAAATATCTTTTTGCAATATTCAATCTTTGTGCAACACTTTTTTTTGAAGATGGTTCAGACTTAATTTAGAAACATGTAAATAAGGTGCTACAAGATTAAAGGTAATATTCAACCATTGCAAACATCAAAAAACAAAACTATCAAATAATTATGAAATACCTTACTTGACTGTAAGTGAATAATAGTCTCAAGCATCCTGTGAAATCATGGCAAATGGTGTGCTGTCATTTTCAAGAAAAGTGGAATTTTTGTATCAATTTACGATGGTCAGCCGACAATCGTTGGGAAAAACGGACAAGCCAGCTAGTCTGGTTGCCTGACCTGACAATTCCCCAACATCTATAAATTGTTTTCTTCGTCTGAAGTAGAGTCAGGGAACCAGACTACAAGAAGATAATTTTTTTCTTGGTTATTCCAGCATCTATGAACACAAACCTTTGAACAGGTCAATGTAACAATCTTTGCTACAAAATAACAACCCCCAAAATCTATCCATTTCTTAAAGTTACAGCAAAAGCAAACGTTGAATATTACCTTTAAAGTTTGAGTAGTGTGTACGACCCCGACCCTACTATTTTTACATACATATTTCATAATTCACCGATGATTTCTCTTCTACATTTTTTCCATTTCGTCATTTTTTCCTTGCAGCAGCTTTGGCTTCCTCTTTTGCTGTAAAAATGAATAACAAAAAAACCTAATAATAATCTACAGTTAAAGCTTAAAGTTAGTTCACCGTTTCTGATTGTTTTATTAGCGCTGATCACTGAGCATAAACAACTTCTTTGAGAAAACTACTTTGTTGTTAATTACATGCGAAGTGGGTGATATTAAAAACTAGGGCAGTTAAAATTTCAGCAGGGCAGTCAAATTTTAGGGTTGGCATAAAACTTAAATTTCCTAAGGGGAAAAAAGTCATGAAAATAGCCAAACTTATCGTCTGGTGATTTCTTCTAACCTTTTTTCTCTTGTTCTCTCTTTTTGGCCGCTTCCTCCCGTTCTTTGCGGATGATTGCTAGCCTTGCCAGGTCTGCCTGGGCTTCAGGCGTCTTGCCTTCCCTGTGAAGCTTCAAATATCGCTGTGTGGCCTCTTCTTTCTCTATCTCTTTTCTGTCAATTTATCAGAAAAAAAATCTGCTTATTTATTGTTAGGAGAGCTAGTGTGTGGAGAATGACATGTATATTTGTCTTCACAGAGGTATTAGTAAAGTCTGTCACGAGCCAATGTGGCCCATCAGGCTGGCTATTTATCTCCGGTATCAGTAGCATGAAACGACAGAGAAAATATTTTATTCCCCTGGATGGGATGCTAGTCCATTGCAGGTTACTCCCCAGCTAATGCCGGTACCCATTTTATACTCCTGGGTGGAGAGGGGCAAGTGGGGGTGAAGTGGCTTGCCCAAGGCTGGAACATATTGCCAGCAGCTGGATTCGAACCCCTGACCCTGTGATCATGAATCACGAACCCTAACCACTAGGCCGAACTACCCTCAACTGCGCAGAACAGTAAATCAGTTAATTCTTTTGAATACTTTTGGTTGAAGCGTTCTAACCTTTCTCTTCTTGATAAGGCTGCCGTTCCGGATTCATTGACATCGACTTGCGACGCTTTCTTCATTTTGTTTGCCACTCGGTTTGGGTTTTCAATAGCTATGAGGTGACTGACGCCTTTGTGTCCTTGCTACAAGAAACAAAACAAACAAACAAAAAGTTATAAAAAATGTGATTAGAGTTCGATTCAAGCCTCAGTCACGCTACTCTCTTTTAACTGTCTTCAGTTAATAACCCTAACTCCCTAGGCAGTTTTGCTAGGATACCTCAATCCTGCAAAATGCTCATTTTTTTCTTGATGTGGTCCTTTCAGGAGTGACCACTGCCTCAATCCTGCAAAATCCTCCAGCAATCACTGTCAATGTGTTGAGGCAGAGCCAGTGACATCCTGGAGCAGTGCAGAGGATTTCCAGTATAATGTAGGCCTAAATTTATGCACGGCTGAACACAAACAACACAAGGTCTGGCCAAAGACCTTGACACAGTGCATCCTCCAAAATCAGCCACACAGATTTGCCATAAAGCCTCAATCCTGCAAAATCCTCCATTTTGCAAAGAGGATTTTGGAGAATTTGGGAAGGTTACGGTAATAATGGTGAATATTTTGACTACACTGCCTCCAGAGAGTACAGCTATGAACTAACATCTTCGTCGGAGTCTGAGTCCGAGTCTGTGTCAGATATCGTCTTTGCCGGCTGTTTTGCTGTCCCTTCGTCTCCACTCCCTTCTTTAGCTGGTTCCTGCATCAAATCAAAACCAAAGACAAAGACAAGATGAATACATAAGTATCAAACCGGCACACTGGTTCTTTGCTCACCTTCTGTTTCTTCACCTTCTATGGGTTCACATGTGGAATATGGTTATAGTCTTTACCTTAATTCAGTAGGATTTCCTAGAATCTCATTCTGTGTACCCCCTTAAAATCTTCACATTAAAGTTTTTTTGTCTCAATTAAGTTTCAGGTTCAGATGATTTTTGCGGCTTCTGGCTCAACTTAGGTCCATGTTTTGCTTTATGTATTTAAAAGTTGTGCGTGAAGTTCTTTCCTCTTGCTTTGGGAAGTTTGGACATTAAGCTTTCCAAAATTATTCCGACGCCAAAGTTTTGACCATCATCGTAGATTTGTTCCATCTTCTGGACACAACCTACCCTCCACTCATGTGCCCTCATTTGGTCATCAATCTCCTCCGGATTGTTGAATTTCCGGCTCCGCCCCTTGTGGCCTCCCTTACGACCTGTGAATTCAATTAATTAATTATGCATGTAAATTAGATTGTACAGAGCTATTTGTCAACAGATTAAGTAGAATAATTAAGTAGAATAATTAAGGAGAATAATTAATATTAGGGCCTTTTTAGGGGTGTGCATCGGAGCCAGGGCTCCGAATGCCCGGTACTCCAATACCTGGCTCCGATGCACACCCCTAATATTAATTGCTGACTCGGTCATCATGGTCATACTCGGGCCTGAGTACTATAACTAGTATCGATCAGGAACTTTTCACAGGAAATTAAACACTTTGGCCAAGTTCGGGCGGTCTGTTCTTGACACGGGTATATTGTTCTCGCACTCGAATGGCCAACGGCGGACGTGAACAAGACCTAGAAACACTGCACTCGGAACAGGATCACACAACACTTTTCCGTCAGTGTTTTGCACGAACAATATACCAGAGTCAAGAACAAACTGCCCAAACTCGGCCTTTGAGATTTTATTTTATGATCGAGTTTCACATGTTTCATGAGCTTGGGAAACACCCCCCCCCCCCCCCGGCCCGTATCGTGCATGTGCAATAGCAAATTAGTTTTCCAAGTCAAAGAGCATGAAGAGTAGACCAAGTTCCAATGACGTTCCAAATTGTCAAATTTTGCAAGTATTTCACACCGTACCCTCAGTGAGTGGCCTCACAAATAAGCCGATCCAGGGAATACTTACCTCCTCTAGGCATTTTTGGAAACTCTTTGATCTCACAAACACTTTCTCACAATGGTCAAAACAGTGAAAATCTGTCTGATTGCACAATGGCAAACAACCAAACGCAGAGTGTGGACTTCACGCATGAACTACACGTTGTATTTGCAAATTCAGTCCCAAATGTGTCCATAGTCCCAACTGCAGTCGGGTAGTTTTTCAATCGGGAATACCAAATTAAAGCGCAAAATTTCTCTCCACCGTAAACTATACTGCATGCGCATGTATTGTAAAATACTACATAATTATTATAATTTAACCCAGCAAAACTTGAATTTGTATAAATCAGATAAACTCAGAGCAAAAACTTTTTGTAGGATTCGGCATCACGCACAATGATCATTTTTTAAGTTGTGTTTTACACCCCCCCCAAAAAAAAATCAAAATTGTTAGTCTTAAATATGATATGATAGTTGTAGCTTCGGTCGATGTGTCTTTAAAAAAATAGATAACTTTTGTGTTTTGCTTGAAAAACAGCAAATTAAAACATCTATTTGCGGGATAAAATTCGAAAATAGCACAAAGTTATCTTTAAAGCGCGCGGTTGCTTATTTACCCAACCACGGAAGAAGGCCTAACTGCAGTTAGGAAGGAAGAAACAGTTGGGGCACGAAATTGGGATTAGCGCCCGCGCGCGTTATTACACTAGAGGGCGGTATTTCACTTCACCGCCAGTGCTGCAAAAAGTGTGCATGTGGTCGATTGGACAGTCATTTTTCTGACATATTTGGCTAAATAATTGCCTCAAAATTAACGATGAGTAGAGTAAGGTATGAAGTAGACTACGGAGATGATGATGTGAGTACCATTTCTACTGGCAAAATACCAAGCACTAGTGTATAATTTTGAATAAAATCGTTAGAAAAACAGCTCTGCAGTAGGGCATTTTTACTTTTTGGTTCAATGCAGAATTTGAAATTCATGAATATTTGTGCAACACTGCCAACAGGCATATTTTACTAACAAAATACAAAATTTAAAGTTTTTAAAAAGTTTTGAATCGTTCAAGAACAGGTTTGAGCAACCATCCGATTGCGCAAGAATGGATTTGCGCATGTTTTGCGTGATTATTTGATTGCACCTTTAATGCTTTATGATCATGTTTATATTTTATAACGTTAATCATGTTAATGAAGTTGTAGTGAGACCACTGAGACAAAACTTCAATCCAAAACCATATTTTGCATGTTTGAGTGATTTTATTACATAAACCCGTGTCTTTTCTTTGTTTTCATTCAAATTTAGGGGGATTATTACCAGGATGATAGTCATGGCTACGGAATGCACACAGGTCAGCATAGAGTAAAAGCCTAGAAAACCGTGAGATTTGATTTTAATAATAATAAGCAAAAGGTTTTAGTTTTATGTAAACAGAATGTTCTATTATTTAAGGGAGTTGTTTTTCCCCCACTTTGTTGGATTTTGGAAGATTTGGAAAAGTTTTAAGCAAAAAAATCCTAAGGGAGTTAACGTTTATTTAATCCTTTTATACCTGCAAAGTAGAAAATCCCAGGTTCTTTTCTCATCTCCAATCCTTTCATTCTTGATTTATCCTCAGGTGATCCGCAGCGTGACTTGGCCTATGAGAGGCAACTTCCCAACACGGTCAGCTCCTACATTCTGCCTGACGAGATCAAGAATTTCTTGATGTTCTTCCAGCGGAGCATCAAGGAGAACCAACTCTACGATATCAGCCAGTGCTACGAGAGAGAGTAAGTCGAGGAGGAAAAAAATTCCATCGAAAATGATGGGATTCGAACCCACTCCCTCTCCTGCTAAAACATGCAGGCATCTGTGGTCAGTTACCCCAGTTCTCTAACATTAATTTTTTTTATAAAAAAAAACTTGTATTGTTCTGTGAGGGATCAAAAAGAAAACAACTTCATTTTATTTTGTCTCTGTTTTACCTCTGTTCGCAGTTTCAACAAGCTGACTGAGAGGTTCTTCAAGAATTCTTCCTGGCCGGATGCAGAGAGCATTCAGACGGTGGTCGGACATGGTATAAAGATCCTCCAGATTTACTTCATGTTTTCCCCAAAACCGTAGTTAGCTGAATTGTAGATACAGACTTTGTTGACTTTACAGCTGTTATTTATAAAAAAGGGGTTTATTTTGCCCATTCTACATATCGACAAAAATGATGCTGATTGATGTTGTTAATTGTTTCAATAATGTTTTGAAAATTATCTGGTTTTGATCAATTTTCTTCAGATCCTGTGTTCAACATCTTGTACAAGGAGCTGTACTATCGTCACATCTATGCTAGAGTCACAGTGAGTAAAGTTATCGTTGGAGAAAAACCCTAACACTGCTTTTAACCCCTCCAACTCAAGATTAAAATTCTTAAAGAAACCCCAATCTTTAAAGTGTGACCCCTGAGCAAAATTGTTCATACTGTCAGCTTAGGTATGTTGAGCAAGTTTCAAGTTAACTTCCACAACGGTTACCAAAGACGTGTAGTAAAATGATTTGGAAATTGAATAACTATTTCTTCTTGTTTGAGGTAAAAGAAATTCTTAATAGATATCTGTTTGTGTTGACAGTCGGGTCCATCGCAGGAGCAGCGTTTTGAGTCTTACTACAACTATTGCAACCTCTTCAACTTTATCCTGAGTGAGTAGAAATCACTGCCTTAGTGTTCACCAAAAGAATATTACAGAATTTTTTTATTGAGGTCGTGTTTTTGTTTTTAACCATTATAAATTGTAAAAAGTACTTCAGAGCATTGGTTGACTTTAAAACTCAAAAAAAAAAAAATTCTGGAGTTTGATGTTTGATTATTTCTCTAGATGCGGATGGACCTGTGAGATTGGAGTTGCCAGATCAGTGGTTGTGGGACGTTATTGATGAGTTTATTTACCAGGTAAATTAAAATTATCACTTGATATTTCAATCCAAATGTTACCTTAACCCAAACACCCATAGTATTTTGATAATCCCCCCAAATCCTACTCTTCGTAGTGCGCATTGTCTTCCTTTTTTATCATCAGTTATAGGAAGTTTGACTTATTGACTGTTTTTCTTTACAGTTCCAAGAATTCAGCAAGTATCGTAGCAAGCTGTCAGGAAAGGCGGACGATGAAATCACCATCCTCAAGCAAAACCCAAAGGTAGACAAAAATGTCAATTACCAGTTTTATTCTTTAGAACATTAAAAACTAGAAAACGGTCCTACCATACTTGGAAATTTTTTCAGAGTTTTTTTTCATTTTTTGCAATGTTTGTTATATAGCGAGAAGAATCTTTAACAAGTAGACAGCTTACAGTAAGTAGTTGGTCAATGGTCTTGGGTTAGAAGACATTATTTTCTCGTCTTTCCTAGATCTGGAATGTGCATAGCGTGCTGAACGTTCTGCATTCCCTGGTGGACAAGTCCAACATCAACAAGCAACTAGAGGTCTACGCCAGCGCAGGTTAGTTGCAACATGAGAAATCAGCTCACTTGAAACATCAAAACGTAGGGGTTGAGGGGAGAAGTAATGGGTTTACTTAAGAGACACTTCTCTGTCAAACATGACCTTACTGAGGTCATATCGGAAACCTGTTTACATGTTGTTTGTTTGTTTGTTTATTATAGGTGATCCAGACAGTGTCGCGGGAGACTTTGGTCGTCATCCGTTATACAAGATGCTTGGCTACTTCAGTCTGATCGGCCTGCTACGACTTCACTCTCTGCTGGGTGACTACTACCAGGCGATCAAAGTCCTGGAAAACATCGAACTCAACAAGCAAGTAAGGCAAACCTCAACTAGTCAGCAATTTCACTGGGCAAATTTCTTTAAAAGTAAAACAATAAACTCAGTTTGAAACACCTAAATACAAAGTACTGCATGAACGGGCAGTTGTGTTCACAGCTGTTTGTTCAGAGATGTCATACAAAGACTTGAAATACCTACAAACAGTAAAGAAAGTAGTGAGGTGTCATATAGCAAAGCTAATTGGAGTTTAAAAAAAATCTTTATTAATTGAGTTGAATATGTCTGAAATACCCAAACCTTCCAAAAAACCTGGGATAGTTACAACAGAAATCATCAGTTAAAGTCATGTTATTGAGTAACATTTACGACATATAAAAAAGTTGCAAAATGTCACACACGCCGTATAGACAAACCATAAGAGTTAACTCTGCGGTATATTGTAGTGCAAAACAGTGTACCAGTGAAGGAGGGTTTAATATAGACTGGTTCCTTGCTCCCCAGACTCTCTACTCGAGGGTGACAGCCTGCCAGGTCACCACCTATTACTATGTGGGCTTTGCCTACCTCATGATGCGGAGGTATCAGGACGCCATACGGAGCTTCACTAACATCTTGCTGTACATCCAGCGCACCAGCCGCATGATGCCACCGGGCTCCTACCAAGTGGATTTGGTAAGTGGGCGGGGTCAAAAAGTGGGTGGGTGTGTCAAAGGTCAATAAGGTATTTAATCCTATTCTCAAACATGCACACACTAAACAAGGATGCCAATTTGTGCACTTGTAAATATGCAAATTTAAATGACCTTATAAATATGCATGAATGTGATTACTCTAATGTTATAAATGTGCTTGAAATTGTTCACTCTAATGTCATAAAATATGCATGAGATGGTTGACGCTAATGTCATAAATATTCGTGACATCAATGACTAATGTCATAAATATGCATGAGATTGTTGACGCTAATGTCATAAATATGCATGAGATGTGATAACTTGAATGACTGACTTTTGCATTGGTAATAACTCTACAGATTAAGAAGATCAATGAGCAGATCTACACGTTGCTGGGGATCGCGCTGACCCTTCATCCCATGCGCATTGATGAGAGCGTCCACATGCAACTGAAGGAGAAGATGGGAGATAAATTGGCCAAGATGCAGCGAGGGTGAGTCAAGAATACCCCCATCACCTCACCTCCACCTAGGCCCCAGCTCCACCCCCAAGAACCTCCCCCTCCCTGGACCCTAACTTGTGACATCAGAAATAGGAGTTGTTATCAAATCAATCACAAATCAGCAATCACAAGTCATCCAGCCTCCAGTCAAGGCACTAGCTGTTAAATTGAATTGTAGAAAACCATTCCTTTGTTATTGTTCATCCTTTATTACTTGTCACCTGGCTTGTGATTACTTGTGACTTGACTTGTGAATTGACTTTCAATGTGACTTGTGATTGGGCCTGTAATTTCACTTGTGACTGACTCAATTAGGCCTACAACCCTGTCAGAAATAAAAAGGCCCCAGTAGAAGTTGCTTGCAAAAGACATATGTGCACAAGAAGTGTACTCACAATTTTGTTTTTTTCTCACCCCTCCCCCCCCCCTTTAGTGAGATGCAAGCCTTTGAGGATGCCTTCAGTTTCTCCTGTCCTCGTTTCTTGTCTCCGGTGCCTCCCAACTACGAGGTCCTTCAGGGCAACTTCCATCGCGAGCCTTTCTCACTTCAGATGAAAGTCTTTCGTGAGGAGATCCAGCAGCAGTTGGCTATACCCACCATCCGGAGGTAACGGGATACACTCTCCAATTGATTCCTATCACTCTCAGATCCTTCAAAATCTGTAAGGTGGTCTTTGGAGGATTTTGTAGGATTGAGGAAGGTAGAGACCAGCCATTTTTACTTTACATGGGGCTTGATGTCATTTAAAGTTAATTGGTTCCTCAGATTTTGGAGGATTCAGGAAAGTTTCAGGCTTAAATGCCAAGGGAATTATAAAGCTTTCTTGAGAAGTAGAGATAATGTATACAATTCTTTGCTTTTATAACAATTGTTTCTGTGTTCCTTTTTGAAGTTTCTTGAAGCTCTACACCACTATGCCGATCTCCAAGCTGGCTGTGTTTCTGGAAATGGTGAGTTTTTCCTCCTCAAAATTCCCTTTTTGCCATTTGCAGACAGTCCTAGTGATATCAGAGTCCACAACATTATATCCCAGAATTGTATTTTTGAATTTCAGATTTTAGTCTTCAATATTAGCAATTTACAGTACAAAATGCTGCCATTGGCAATGTTAACACTTCCTTGCAACTATACTTTGCAAGGGAAAAAATATTTGTTGTTCCTTTAATCACATTTTTAAGACAAAGTTTGACTTTCTTTTTACTTTTGTCTTTGTTTACAGTCGGAGGAAGACTTCAGAACTCACCTGCTGTGCTTCAAGGTAAGTGTTTGGGCAAAATTGTTGACAACCGTTCTCCATGGGCTGGTTAAAATGACAACACACACAAGTTTGAAATTGGAATCATGTGATCACACTGTATGGATTCATAAACAAGTATCATGTACATTGTCTGTGGTAGTAATTGCTGGATGTTTTCAATGGTTCCATGCAGCATAAGATGAAGAACCTGGTGTGGACCAAGGGCACCAGTGGTTTGGCTGGGGAGTTTCAGTCAGCATCCGAGGTTGACTTCTACATCGATCAGGTGAGTTGAAAAGAACGATGGCCATTGACAGACATCCATTGTCAAGAATCAAAATATGCTAATGCGATTTGAAAATAACAGTGAATGTGCGTGTTTTGTCAGGGCCACCTTAGGAAGTCAAATATCTTCAAAACTTTCAGAGAGTCACGGAGTTTATTAGCAAAATTCCTTTGAGAATTAAGGTTAATAGTTATTGTTTAAGGCAGACAGATGTTGCAAATTTTGCAAGTTACAGAGGAATTCACAATCCACTAAAGTAGTTTTACAGTGTTCAATTTTATATAATTTTTTTTGCACAGGACATGATTCACATTGCTGACACCAAGGTGGCTCGTCGCTATGGCGATTTCTTCATCCGCCAGATCCATAAATTTGATGAGGTGAGTAGAGAATAGAATCCTGAGTATTCAAGGTACAATTCAGCGGTCGTGGATTTGTTTTTCAGTTGGTAAAAATTGAATGTTTGTACATTTATATTATGTTCTTTAAAATCCATACCAGATAATAGGAATATTATGTGCTTAGTTTGGCACGAACATGATGCTAACATGAAGTGCATTTGCAGTGTGGACATACCAATGCCTGTACTTACTGGGACATTTCTCAGTGCATATAACTAAGAAATTTCTGTCTCTTAAGTTAGCGCACTCTTCACTGTGTTTTCTGCTGTTTCTTCTGATCTCAACAGAAATATATTGTGTGCTTAGCACTGCTATAGATGCATACACATTATGTTTCAAAAACAGTCATCAGTAATGTTTTAATTTTTTTCTTCTTTTTGTCACAGTTTAACCGCTCTATGAAGAAGCCCATTGGACCCCTATAGTGCGAACTCGATGAAAGCTTGATCAACAAAACTGACATTGTTTAAATGTCATAGTTTCCCCACTCCTCCAAACAGTTTCAACTAATCGAACACTGAAGTATATTTCATTTCAACAAAATTATGTCAACTTTTACTAATATGGCTTTCTGTTCTCGATGTCCAGAGTTTTAAAGAGAATTGTGAAAGTTTTGTTTTAAAATATTCAAAATTCAAAATGTGTATCATGGAAAAGCCTTCACAGAAATTCATAAAAATTTTAACATTTTGAGCAAATGTTTTGCAGTTTGCTTTGAAATCTCGCTACACATTTTTTTCACACTTTACACATCAAATTTATCCATAAAATAGGGCTCAACTTGTGTACTTTATTTTATGGTATGTTAATACAGTTTAAAGGTGGAGTAGATCGTTTGCAGCTATCCAAAAAGTAACTGACCAAATTGTTATCAAAAATCTTGCTTGGTTTAAAGATAGTAATGGCACTGAACTCCCCATGAAATTATTTTCTGGCATAATTAATGTCCTTTTGAAGAAAACAATAAAAGAAGGTCATTTCCAAAGATGAATCAAGTGGCGCATTTTTGGAAATTTCTGTTAGTAGTTGTTGGGCAAATCCGTGAATGGGTGCACACAAGCATTGACACGAGGCATACGCACACACGGTTGCTATTATTCACCGGTTCAGTCATTGGCTGAATGAGAACTTGTTCTGTTCCGGATGCTGATTTCTGGCGCAATTCAAAATATGACTTGGCAACTTTTGAATTGAAATCGAAATCCTAAAATTATTGTCACAGAATTCACAGCATTCACAGAGCTAAAACTTTATCAGGTTAGTTGTTGTGCACCCGTCTAGATTTTGAGAACTTTTTGTTGCTGCAAACAAAACAAATGACAAATGATCTACCCTACCTCTAACCTTCTTTGCACCCTCCCCATTTGTTTACCAACAGTCATGCTGATATATACAGGGTTAAATTTGATGCAGTTTAAGTCTTGTTTTCTCTGCATCTCAGAAAGGCAAACAGTTATTTGTGCTTATTAGCTTAGGTGCTATGCTGTCATGGATGAATAAAATGTATTGAGTGTGATAACAAGTATGATTCATATTGTTGTTTGTGATTCTTTGTGACTTTTGTTATGTTGTGGTTCTTTGTTCATGAATACATTTACATTCTAAGAGAGGAAGGGCCAATACATGATTTTACTAAGATTGGATTCCTGCATTTTAAAATGTTTGAAACTACAGACAAGTTTTAAAAAGTTATAAGGGTCCCCCCCCCCCCAAAAAGTACCCCTTAATTATTTTAGGGGTGCATTTATTCGCCCAACCTATGTTTTCTTCGTGATTGCCCCCAAAACATGGTCATTAGTTTCCAATATCCCCTTAACTTTTAGTACATGTAATCATTTTTAAAAAAAAATTTGTTAATTATTTAAAGTAAATTTTTCTAATAAAATTGCGGGGAGTCGACGACTGATCAAAGGAGGGCGCCCTTCAAAACACATGCACACTGAAACGAAACTTCTACGATTTGGTTCAGCTGGTTTCTTTACTCGGCATCGCGTTGTCAACACAACAGGCTCTGTATTTCACGGCTAACAACAATCAACTTAGAGGTAAAGTGCACAAATTCACATTTTGGTTTTGTTTTCAAGTACTTATTAGGTTTTGTAAGACTTATTAATTGTTTTCAAAGTCAGGTTTGCAGCGAGTCCAGTTTCCGGACATTAAGCATGTTAAGATTTGCTTTGTTTTTTTTTTATTGGGGGGGGGGGGGTTGGCATTTTGATGTTTGTAATTGTATTGTTTGTTATTTTTGTTATTCAATCTATTTTATCATTATTGTCTTAGGTAGGCCTATTAAGTATTTACTAATACTATAAAATATATGTTAAAAATGAGAAACTGCACAAGATTTCAAATTGGTTAAAAAGTGACACACTTTAACTCTTTCACTACGGCGAGCCGCCAACAGTGGCACACAAAAATTGTACATGTCGTACGGCAAGCCACTCCCAGCAGCGGCTCGGTGACGTCACTGTGAATAAACAGGGTATCCCCATGACGTGTGCCTTATTTACATAATTTATAACGTATAACCTCTGACCCTAGTTTGAGCCGCGCGCTGTCAGCGGCTCTCCGTCTGGCCGGGGTCTGCTGCAGGTTATTTTGAGCAGTTTGTTTGCAGAGAGACATTTAAAGATGGTGGTGTCCACATCGACACACGGCGGAATTTCCAGCGATTTATTAATTATGTTCAAACGTGAAAAATCAGGAAATTAAATTCAGTAGCGAAAAGAGTTAAATTTCCACTGCTCCCCATACGCCACCAAAGCGGCGTGCTCTACATAGTTTTTCCAACTACTCATGGGCATGATATGTAGCTGACAGTGAAGTCCCAATTATTTCATTTTCTTGGGATAGTGAAGCCAGTTTGCATGAGGTGTAGCCATGTCTTTAGCTGATGAGCTTCTGGCAGACTTGGAGGAGATTGCGGAGGAAGGAGTTGAAGCCGAGGCTGTCAACGATGAAGATGAAGACATCCAAGATGTGGATGAGATTGGGATGGATGTGGATACCAAGGCAGATTCCATCACGTCCATCGCTAAACTAAGACATAGTAAAGAGGTAACAAAAACATTTCCTTTCCCTCAATCTCTCCTCCCCCCCCCCCCCCCCCCAGTTAGGACTTCATTATTTCAATATGCATTATTTTATCATGAGATGGGTACCGATGGCTGTTTTATTGACATCAGCAGCTCATGACATGAAAAGGATTTTGTCTTGAGTTTCAAATCCCAATGCAGTTAATTCATTTCTGATTATTTTTGAGTGCCTGAATTTCAGCACAGTGCATTTAAGTATTGAACATATCACTCTCCAATTTACAGGGGAACAAAAATCGCTATTAGATGCCAACTCTTAAATGTCAGTCTCACCAGACATGCACATGTTGCACTCACAGCTTCTGGTGAAGTTGAGGTGCTAGAAATCTTGTGTCATTGATGTGGTTTTCATTATTTTGACAATTTAGAAGGTGCTTTTCCCTTTCTGTAATTAGTCTCGCTCAAAGGAAGAGCGGCCTTGTAGTTAAGTTCACATTTTCACAGGATCAAAGGCTTTGCAACAATATTTTTCAAATGTTGACAATCTTTTTTATTTATTGAAGAGAAAGATAAACTGCTTTTGAAATATTGTTGTTCTTGACAGTTGAAAAATGTGATGGCACAGATCGAATATTTCCAAGAAAATCCCAGGAAGGAAGAAGGTAATATTTGGGCCAATTTCATCAATTTCATCAAACCAGAATAATGAAGACATCAGGATGAAAATCTCGTTGTCTGGATTTCTACGCTTCGCAGTAACCTGAATTGTCGTGCTCCCTCAATTGTTTCATAATGTTACTGGATTCGTCTTTTGATAGTTTCTTGATTTTTCCTTTGTTTAATTGCTTTACTCTTGTGATTATCGTTTCAGTGGTTGGCCCAGTAGAGGCAGATCCAGAATATCAACTTATCGTCCAAGCCAACAACCTGAGTGTGGAGATTGACAACGAAATCAGTAAGATACATTGTATTGGTTCTGACCATTTTGAAGTGGTCCGTGTATTTTTTTTTTAATATTCGAGTGTGCAAATGGCCCAAAGGTAATGTCTAGGGTGCCACGTGCTGCTAGAGGTCCTTACCTACCCCCCCCCCTCCCTTTTGGACCGTAACCCCCCCCCCCCCCCCCCCTTTGAAAACCCCTCTCCCCCCTCCCAACTGGTCTGACGTCCAAAAGGGGGATCGTCCCCTTTGGAAAAATATAAGAAAATACAATTTATGTTTTTGCTGTAATGCAGTCTGTAGGTTCTATTTTTGATGTCTTTTTATGTTGACATGATTATGATTGCATGAACACGTACATGTCCTGGTGAATATATATTTCTACCACCGCACTTAAAGAGTTATACACAAAATCTTTCAATAAACAGTGTAACTGATTATCAACCAGTTAAATTGTTCCGATTGTTCTCTGCACTATTTGGTGTTTGTTTTCTTCACAGATATCATTCACAAGTTTGTACGAGATCACTACCAGAAACGCTTCCCTGAGCTAGAATCACTGGTCCCCACACCCCAAGAGTACCTGCAAACAGTCAAGGTTTGTGCAGCTACGCAGTGTCACCAGTTATGATTCCACTAACACAATATTTCAATATGGACTTCTAGTAAAGTATTTCGTACATTTGTCCCAAACTCCCTTAATTTGTTTTGCCTATAAGTTAGAACCTCACCGAATCCTCCAGAATCCTCCACTTTTGTGGTGGGGATTACTTTATTAGCAGCATATTCTCAGTGCTATCTGAGAACTTAACGCGAAAGACCGGCTTGACGTGAGTGGGACTTGAACCCATGACCTCCTGCTTACTAGTGCAGACGTCTTTACCACTTGAGCTTGTTGGGATCAGTCAATTGATTTTTTTTAGTGTCACACTCTTTAACGTCATAGCTACTGGGATGTACTAAACTAAATCCATTTTGTTGTTTACAGGAGTTGGGCAACACTCTCGACAACACAAAGACTAATGAGCAGCTGCAAGACATCCTGACAAACGCGGTGATAATGGTGGTGAGTGTGTCAGCCTCCACCACCCAGGGGACAGAGCTGACAGACGAAGAATTGGCTACCGTCTATGAGGCTTGCGACATGGTACGTAAGAGCATTAAATCGTGACACATGAGCCACATCTGAATGACTTGGCTACGGCTTGAAATTACTCATGCGACTATGGAAGCGGCTGCCGCCACTTCGCATTGACACCTGTGCTACTGCCAGTCGTAGCCATTGAGTATTTCCATATTCTTCATCTGTTGCAGGCCTTTGATTTGAACGAAGCCAAGTCACAAATCCAAGCTTATGTGGAGTCCCGTATGTCATTCATTGCACCCAACTTATCCATCATAGTCGGCTCATCAACGGCTGCCAAGATCATGGGTAAGACATTGTCAAAAATCCTTAAATGTTTTACATTGGAAATGCAAGTTCACAAATGGTGCAAAAAGCAAATGGTAATTTGTGACAACCCGATATTCTAATTTGGTGTACCTCTTGATACCAGTACCCACTGATGACTAGTCTTTTGATTGATTGCTACAATTCCAACTTCTAGGTGCTGCGGGAGGCTTAACCAACCTCTCCAAGATGCCATCTTGTAACATCCTACTCCTAGGAGCACAGCGGAAGACACTCTCAGGTTTCTCCAGTGTGGCAACAAACCCTCACACAGGCTACATCTACTACAGTGACATAGTCCAGGCAACTAATCCAGTAAGTGTGCTAACCTCTCGTATACCAGAACCGAGTTCCATGCCAATGCGTCATTAAATATGTTACCCTTATAATTTGTTTTTCCTTACAACCGCCAGGATTTAAGGAAGAAAGCGGCACGTCTCGTGTCAGGCAAATGCACCCTTGCAGCCAGGGTAGACAGCTTCCATGAGAGCACCAATGCTACGATTGGTTTGAACTTTAGAGAGGAGATAGAACGTCGGTTGTCCAAGCTACAAGAGCCACCTCCTCCTAAACAGGCGAAGGCTCTACCGGCTCCCATCGACGTCAGCAGGAAGAAACGAGGTGGACGAAGGTAAAAACTAAGCTAACACATCAAGAAATCCTCTTAAAGGTTGTGAGCAGTGTTGTAGCTGAGACCATCAAAATGTTCAAAAGGTCCTCACACATCCTCACAAGTTCTCACAAGTCCTTACAGGTCCGCATAAAACCTCACAAGTCCTCATAAAACCTCACAAGTCCTCACATGTTATCACAAGTCCTCACAAGTTCTCACAAGCCATCACATGTTGTCACAAGTCCTCACAAGTCCCTAACAGGTCCTCACAAGTCCTCACAAATCCTCCCAAATCTTCACAAGTCCTCAAAAGTCCTCACAAGTCCTTTGTAAGTTCTCCAGCCTCATTTCGAGTCACAAGGTTTTCAAACGATCTACGACAAACCACTCCTTTGAATAGTGTTTATCCCCTGTTACTTGTGGCTGGACTTATAAAAGGACCGATCATTTACTTCGGACCAGACTTGTGATGAAATTGTGATGAACTCATCGATGGTACTACTTTAGACAACCAGACTAATATGAGCCCTCTTGTGTGTCTTCATCCAACCACTCAGAGTCCGCAAGATGAAAGAGAAGTTGGGCATGACCAGCATGCGCAAGGCAGCCAATCGGATGACATTTGGGGAGATTGAGGATGATGCCTACCAAGACGATCTTGGCTTCTCTTTGGGTCAGGTGGGCAAGGGAGGGACGGGCCGGATACGAGGGCCGCAGGTTGATAACAAGACACAGGTCAAGCTATCCAAGAGCTTACAGGTGGGTAGACTAGGGACCAGGTAAGGCCAAGTCAAAAAAAACAACCAGTTTCTCGTTTCTGCCAATTCCTACCAAACACATTGCCAGAGATTTTGGCAAGCAACCTGAGCCCAATTTCATGACTCTGCTAAGCACAGAATTTCGCGCTTATGATCACCATGCCGTAGTGTCTTACTCCTGTAAGCACAAAATCCTTAGTTACGGGACGTACGCATGCCCAGAAGCCAAAATGCCTTGCCAACCCATGAAATAAGTGAACCGCAGGCACAGAATTTTCTGCTGCGGTAAGCAGGGAATTTTCGGTAACGGTAGCAGAGCAATGAAATTTAACTTTGGGCCAATTCCATTTAGTTTCAAAGCAAACTGATATGTTTTTTTAAGCAAGGAAGCAGCATATGACCATCCAAAGTCAGTACACCTTGCATGACATTTTTGCTGTTACCTGTAATTTTGCTAATTATTTTCTCTTCTGTTGTTTTTCTTGTTGTTCACAGCGTCAGTTACAGCGCCAGCAGACCCACGGCGGTCGATCCACAGTAAGAGGGAGGGAGACGTCAGGCACGGCGTCAAGCGTTGCCTTTACACCCCTCCAGGTAGGATTTCAATGGATTGTGTTCTGTTTAATTCATCATTTGTTCCATTCGGATGTGTGATCCATATTTAAAAATTTACAACATGTAACAAAACTGTCTTAATTAAAAATTAAAAAAGGGACCATAAGAAGGTTTGATGCAATATGCTGTCAACTTCTTACTTTTTACATTTGTGGGTTGAAATAGGTAAACAAGAGTTATTAGTAGGTGAATTACAGAAAAGTAACTTTGAAAGATGAAAACCTTTAATTTTAAATGAAGTTTCATTGTTGTTTTGTTGAGAAATAATTGTTCCTGTAGAAAAAGTAACAACACATCAACTTGTGGTTAATTCTCAAAGAGCTGGTCTGTGTTTTTTTTTAAACACAACTGAAAGTTCTTAGTTTCAAAGAAATATTTACAAATTTAGAATTATTTCTGTTTGCTTTTTGGAGAGAATTGTATCTGCCCGATCAAGAACATGCCCAATTTGGATGACAATGGCATCTAACAATATTACCAGATTATTATAGAAGACTTCTATTTTTCCTGGGCAGGGTTTGGAGATTGTCAACCCCCAGGCAGCAGAGAAGAAAGCCTCAGAGGCAAATGCTGGATATTTCTCAACGACCTCAGGCTTCAAAAGAGTGCTCTCTGGTGCCAAGTGATCTAAAAAGAACCCACTTGATGACATCACTTGAAGGTCAGAAGGTCATTGCCATAGCAACTGGCAGCTTTCATTTTCCCGGTGGGTGATATTTTATATGAATAAACCTTGGCTGGTTCCATAACGGAGTACCAGGAAAGTGAGCAAAGGACCTGCAGTAAGATTGATCGTTTATGGAAGCCAATGATGACAGCCATCATGCTCTGTTGATATCATGATGACATCGGACTTGACTCCCAACTTGCGTATGGTTGTTTGGACAAATTTGGGAAGTAGTCTTTGAACTTCCAGAATCATGACAACATGATTTTTTATAACACCCTTGTTTTGTGTACATGTGACGACAGTGACGTATAGGAAGGATCTTCAGAAACTAGCCTTGTATCATAAGTGCCTTGTCAAGACAGTTGATAATATGTATAGCGCCCTCAATTTAGGTCTTCTTTCGAGGCCGTGAGAGATAGACAGCTGCTGTAGTGATTCAAATTCTAACATTCTCATCTATCACATTAAACAGTTGCCACTGATTACGTCACTTAATAGTCAAAAGACCCACAAATAAGAAATTTGATTTTGGGATTTGCCCATCATCGGCATTGACAAGCACAGCGAAATGTTAACATTTGCATCTCTGCGGCACACATTTCAATACTTTTTTGAGGATTCAACACTTTTGAGGATGTTGTAGTGCCCACCCTTTAAGATATGTTTTCCTATGAAAAGTGTAAATAATAGGAGAACAGTTGGCCCTGTTTTTTTTTTTACATGTATTATGCTTTATTCCAGACACATCTATACTGGGACTTATAACATTCTTAAAATGTAATTTTGGAGGCAATTTTGATTTTTGTTTTTTTAGTTTGTGTATTTTGTTTATTTCATTTAAGCTCCTTTTATGTTTTGTTTGAGTCTGATTGACTCAAATTTGTGAAATAAAGAATATTAAGGACTAGAACTCTCTGGAACATGTCATGTACCCTTCTGATGTCAATTGTTATTTTTGCTTTGAATCTAGCTCTTGATATGTTTACCCTTATCCCTTACGCTGCATCCTGCTTTTGGGGGGGGGGGGTTCACACTGTACCTCACCGTTTTTGCAAAAATGGCCATTTTTGGTAGGCTATACAAAAAATTGGCAGATTCAGCAGATGCATGAAAGAAAAGTCATAATAATTCAGTTGACAAAAGCTTCCTCTGTCCAGTCGGTTAAGTTTACAAGAGCTTGACTTGAATACTGAACAGAGTGTGCGCTGGACAACGGGTTGATCCTGCAAGAATAAACCAGATGTAGGACTAGAAAGAGCTTTACAATTACAGATTTTAAAACGTTTATTTTTCAAATGGCAACACATTTACAGGCAGACACAGTTTGTTCATAACCAGTAGAAAAATAGTTTTAAGAAAATCCAATTTGATTGGAAATTATATCTACCACTTACAATCAAAATGATATTATTCAATAGTGATTATTCACAAAGTACTTGAAGGTCATACATTTGTGCAGCATGGCCGAAAAAAAAGTATTGCCAATTCAGCGTAAATAATTTTAAAAAATCAGTTCATGGCATATTTCAGACAAAACAATTACATTTGCATAATCCTTTTCAATTCATTTAATATACATTAAAGGCATAAATATCACATTACTTTTTAGACCTGTGGATGATGTGCATTTTTTTTTTATTTTAGTGTTATTGGTTAATTAGGGTTGTATATAGGAAAGTGTCAAAAATAAGCTGTCGCATTTTGATTTTAACTTCTTTTTCCACATACTCGTTCGGTTTCATGTGGTGACATACGTTGCCATGTAATTAGTACTGCATCTATGCCTACGCTACTTTTTTTTTTGACGTCTAAGTCACACAATGATTTCAGAGGACAAATATTTTAACGGCAATAACGTACATCTAAATCATTCCAAATGAGTTGGTGAAAATTTGTTTCATCTGGCAACTCATTATCGAGGAGTTTTGCAATCATTCCTGCAATTGCCTTTTTTCTTTAATGTCAATTTTTTTTGTTTGGCAAGATGGTATAAAATGTAATACCGTATTATAGTAAGACCGATTGACAATTGACACTGATGATTTTTGTGATTTGTTATAGTGATTACAGTTGACACATTCACTTTTTATGTGAAGTACTTGTAAAGGTAAACTTGGTCCTTCTAGCATCCAAAATGACCGGATTATTTGATCCAGATATTGTCAGTTTGCCAATTCTAGGCCCACTTCCATCCACTGGCCCGCTGCCGACACCAGCCCCACCACTGTAAACACTGCTGCTGCCCTGTATACATGTATGTACCACATCTGGTGGGTTGGTCTGTTTCATGCTTTCTGTTTCCTGTCTACCTGCTACCCATAAAAGATACCAAAAACGTAAACCAAACTCAGAAAACAGACAATAACAATCACTGAATTTGTTTTAGATCAAAGATGGATAGTCGGAAGAGAACTTAATATTTTAGCTTTAGTAGAGAAAAGTACTGTGTTCGACTTTCCGTGAAAAAAAATGAAGTTAATTTCAAGGTCGCGAACTGCAATTTAAAATGAGTGGACAGGTGTAAATTCCAGGACAGCACTTTGAGCTTTTTTGGAGGCCCCATTTTCTGGAGGAGGCACACTAATAAGTTTTAAACAAATATTGTTATTTTTAATTCCTCGTTGGTTCGGGGGGGGGGGGGCCTTATAATTAGTTCCACCATTTGAAAATTTTAATCCGTCCTTTTTGATACCACACATTTTCTCTATCGGTGGTGGTACAGAATGTTATCAACTGTCACTGAAAGTTTTTTTTTTTATTTATCCAAGATGAGTACATAATGGTCACTGGTCTATGGAAATTTGTATTAACATGAAACCCTCATCAAAAAGACCTTGATGTATCCTCGAACTAACAATACAATGAGTGAAAGTAAAGATAAATGGGGCATCCAGGTACATATTTCAAGGTATTTATTTAATTTTTGAAAAACTGCAAGTGCACAATCATCATTTTAACATACTTGGGTCACCTTCATTTGGCCTTGGTCCCGCTTGTCCTCCTGTCGCTTTCACCGAATGAAACTCAAACTCGGTGTCTTCTGCATGACCGATGAGTGGGCACTGCTCCCCTGTGATTAACATTTCACCAATCATTGGTCCACCAGCGCTGCGGGCTGCAGTAGCCTGAGGAGCTGATGGCCTTCCCCCGGGGCCAGCACCGCTGCTTGCATCGGCGCTAGCCTGGGTCGCTGGCCCTCCGGCACCGATGTCCCCACTAGGAGCGCCTGGCGCATCCCTGACTGGACTCGCATCCGTTTCATCGGTTGAAGGCTGCTGACCACTTGCTAATGATCAAAATAAGAATTTTTAAAAAATTACTCCAAACTTAAAAATAAAAAGTTTTTGACAGACAGAAAAAAAGAAAGAAATCAACAAAACAAACAGCTTTGCATTTTTCTTCCTTATACATGTAGTTTCTTTGCTTGCGGGTTCATTTTGACAGACAATATTCAAATTGATTTATTCTAAAATTAAATTGTCAAATACCGTATTTCTCCATCTTTAAAGAGCTGTAAGTTGCAGCTTGTGTTTGACCTGGAAAGAAAGGGGGAAATTGTCGTCATGGCGTGTCACAGTGGCTTTATTATCATAACTATCTTTCATTCGTATGTTTCACTCTCATGCACAATAGCTGGTCTCCCAAAAGTCTCGCTTATGAAAACAAAATGGATGAGAAAAACACGATGCTTTCATTGATTTTGTTTATAAACCAGTCGGATGTTTTCCGATTTTGATTGAATGTTTCCAGCTCAATTTCAAAGAAGTTGATAATGGACTAGAGTTGACTAAACGTCTTTAATTGAGGAGCAGGTCCTGCGATAGCCTTTAGGGCCCGATGCCTATACACGAATGAGTTTGTTTTTACTTTATCGAATTCTTGCATGTGCAATTTTTGCTGTTTAAGTTTCAATTCAAAGTGTCTGGCGGGCTTTTTTAGCAAAGAGAAAACTGAACATTAATCTAAAAAATGTCTTTGTGGTTGATTAAGGTGTACCCGTGTGTAGGCCTACTCCGCGCACGACTTCAGCACGTAAAATGAAAGTATTCTTTTCGTCTGTTTACTGCACACTGCCGTTTGAAAAATGGTGTCAATGCGTCGATTGAAAATAGAAACAAGCTTACTACGAGGCCTTAAAGCTGACATGGGACATGGCTGAGGTAATTTTATGTCTGGGGATTATTATTTGTGTAAAATATTGTAGGTTTGTTTGGCAGACAAATGTGTAAAGTGATTTTATATAAATTATTTGTTGCGAAGACGTAGTATTGCTTAAGCGGATGAATACTTGAGTCATTCGGTAAAACGGCATCTTGCAACTACTTCGCACTGCTAGCCGTGAACCAAGATGATCTTATCGGTAAGTCACTCACTTTTTGTTTAATTTTGGCTCCTAAAGTACTCAGTTTTAAAACCGATAGGATTGAGAGTATTCACCAGTGTGTACTGACACTGGGGGTGCAGTTTTGTGAGCATTAAGTGCTCGGGAAACGTCAAAATTGTGTGAGATTCTTCGCGTCGTACACGTCCATATCGTGTATAGGGGCGCCCTCTGGCTGTGGGTTTGTGGGAATGTACGCGTGCGTACCTGGTCTCCGTTGTGTACACGCAACGGATGCAACGAAGACGTCGTCCAAGCTATGATCGATCAAACATGGAGAACGTGGTGTGCGGACAAAATAATTCTTGCATGTCACAGGGTATTTAATCATGATGATGAGTAGTGCGTGGATGCCTGCATAATCCCTGCTGAGGAGATTATGCACTAATGCAGTATTCCACCAGAACTAGAATGTGCTGTTAAAACATGACGGAGAACTTTACAAATAGAGCATTTATTGTTTGCACAGAGAATTTATGTGGCGAATTCCGCATGATAATACTAGGTATACATAACATGTAATTCCCCAAATTCCTTTAAAAACAAAGAGTTAAAACGACCCTCTATAGTCGGCAATCGTAATTATGGTAATAGCACTTGATTCTACACTTTTTATAGTGATGAAAAAATCACTGACATGTAGCACGCCTATCTTAGTAGGCCTACTACTACGATTTACTAGTGCAATTACTGTGATGAGAGCTATATATCAACCAGGCTGTATTAAATTCAAGAGAATTCATTTGGAGCTGTTATTCAAGGCGAAAAAAGCCTCTCCCTCGAAAAAAAATCCCACGACATGGACACTATGCTTGTCTGTTTTGAATTGGAAACATCATGTAGACCCATGCAGGACGAATAATTATTGTAATTAGTTATTTTAACCAAAGTAGGCTCATGCTCATAGGACTTTCAAATGCATGTAAATTCACTGAATACTGCTTAAAAATCAAGGTCCTATGATACACTCTTTGAATTAAGGTGCAACGAATGGCTAGTGGTACAACCGAATACAAATGCGAATTTTAACATTCCCAGTTCGAAAAGTGATTCTGGGGCAAGGTTACTTAAGCATTGGTTGTATGAATGTGCAAACAAAATTACCCGGCCGGGGTAGCCATGGTCCAAACATGACTATCGCAATAACTTGTCTATAAATGTTGCACCATTAGGCCTGTGCCAGGCAATTGTAAGTCAATTCAGCCGGTAATTAAGAAGTTCACAGGCTTTTACCTCCCTGATTTTTCAAAGAGTGAAAAATGACTGCAGAACTTGGACAAGTTTATGAAAAAAATTACCAACCCTAAACGTCTACACGAAATTGATTGAGAACGTTTAATCCCATGTCTTGTAGGCCTGGTCCGTTCACGTTTAGCAGACCAACAAGTACTTAGTACAGCACCCCCCCCCCCCCCAACAAGAACAGATCGAGTATTTCAGAGGTGTATTTTGACTTCGTTAAACTAGATGCGGTCCACCTGAAAAGGTCTCGCATCGGAGACCACAACATTAAAATCGTCATTTCGATAACAACTGTTGATGATTTTGTTTAGCCCTACACACACAGTGCATAAAACAGCAATGTATTTGCCGGTAATGTCTGATTTAGTATGGTGGACATATTAAATGCTCTACGTATAGTAATGTATCGTGCTCACCAGAAAACAAGTTGCAAGCACTGCCCGGAAGTTGGAAATAGCGTCAATCTCTCTAGTCCACCATCACTGTCAATGATGTGAAGGCGCAGAAGTGATGATCGCTGTACCCACGGTGTCGGAGTTCGGATGTCAATTCATTGTGACTGTGAACTTCGACACGGTATACGGAACTACATGTATGCAGTTGTGTGTAATGCCACTGTTGGCAATGCATAATGGTGAACAAATGTGCAACCGCTGTGTGTCGCCGCATATTGTTTGCGTTCTTGCTTGACACCATGCTTTAAAAAATACATGAAATTGGACTTTAAACAGACGCGCGCTCTGCTGTCAGTTTTAAAAGCTAATATTTTTTTCATTGGGTATCAAAAAGTGGGGAAGGAAATCGATTATAATTCAGACAAACACTAAATAATTTCTCCCTCGGCGATCGGTCCCCGCTGTCCGCTTTTTGCTTTGCCTGTTTCGTTTACTGATTATATCCTATTCCTAATACTACTTTCAACCAATCAGAATTTGAATTGTATGAAATAAATCGGCAACTTTTCATCAGCCTATCAGCTACGTGTTTCCAACCATGGCGGCACGATCGTCACCATCTTCATACTGTAGACTTGGCACGTTTATTCCTAAAACATCGGTTCATAACCCAGTTTCCCACAAAATAATATCGCTGATCATACAATGCAGTTTAGATGTCAGTGACACTGTGACTGCATTGTTTTCCTTTGCCTGTATAGCATGGAAACAACATCACCCTTTTGTCATGGTTTATTATATTTTGTTGTGCCTTTTCATTTTGCAACAAGCACTATAAGCATGAGATTCAAACACATTGAAAGATACTTATCAAGAAAAGTTTCACAAGATGGGATACTAAGGGCTTGCCTTTAAGCCCTTAGCATCCACTACTTAAACCACTACACCAACAGGAGTTCGGCAGTCTCCTGATGACGAGCTAGGGGAGCATTGGCTGTCTGGCCGTACTACAGAGCTTGCGATATAGTACTGTCCGGCCAGATGCAGTCGGGCTAAACGAGACCGTACGTGAGTCCAATAACATACAATTGAAGTGTACTTTACTTCTTAATAATGATCTGGCTTCATGTTTATATTCTGTCGGAGTCTGACAAGTTCACTACTTTTAGGAATAAAGTATGTGCAGATACATGCTTCTGTCAACTTGACGTGCACTTTTTACACAATTAGGATCTTATTGTGAGTGCATAATTGTCCTTTGCATGTAGCCTGGAAACACCTTTTGTTGTGTTTTAATTTATTTTGTTGTGCCCTTTTCATTTTTTTGCAGCAAGCACAATTTTGGGCATGCGATTCAAACACATTTAAACATATCAACCAAAGGTTCACAGGATAGATGGGCTAGTAAGAGCTGATCGATCTTGCAAAATTTAATAAACTGTTAGGCAAACACAATTTTAAAAATGGCAAATTTTAATAGATTCTACATCTTAACAGCTTTTTAAGTACTACTCTAAAGACACCAAATCACTACATAAAGAAATGTGTAAGAATTTGAAGAGGTCACATTTGATAGAAAAAAAACCGATGTAAATCAAAATAGACTTTTTTGAATATTGATAATTACTTTTTATCATGAAAGGCAAAGAAAATCTAAAAGCTAGCTTTTTAAGATGCAGAGATCATTATAGTACATAATGGTGAAATGCATATCCCCCAAAATTTGTGGGGCATTTCTTATTTTACCAGCTTGCTTTTTTAAAGAAAAGTTAAGAAAATAAACTCAGCTAGTTGCATCAGAAATATTTCAGGTAATATTTCATGAATATTTCAGAAAAAAATACCTTTGCAATTCCAAATTTATTTGAAGTATACTCTCACAAAACTACGGCCAGATCCAATGAAACGATTATTGGATTTGTGAGTGTGCGTAAGTTAATGCCGAAGAAGATCAAATTGAATTTCGTCTATTAATATTGTTTGCTTCTACAATTTCTTTGTTTGATTGGGTCTACAGAAATTCTTGAATATTGTGTCTATGCCTAGGCCTACATCTCAAATATATATACAGCACAACATCAACGAATTTCCCAAACCACAGCTTCTATGATTTCGGCACTGTGATGCACTTTAATGAACCAACCAAATAAAAACTCTCTCTAGCCTGATTTCAAATTATTTAAAGTTCCTTTGTTCCTTGGGCACAAGATTGACCCAAATTGAGTGGGGGTTGAAATCATGAAGAAGCAGCCTGGATCCAAACAATCAGAGACCGGTGTTTGAGACATGACCACTGAGGCTGAGTTAAAAATTATTTGTATCATTATTCAGATTCTTTTAAGATGAAAAAATGCTGCATCCACAAGAAGAATATTAAGAAGAATTTGGACAAAACACATGATTAAAAACAAAGTAAAATTTAACACAAAAGTAAAAGGTTTATTTTATTCTGGGAATGTATGCAGCAAATTAGCGTACATGTAGATGTGATCGTAGCTGGTCGGGGTCAACTATTGGGAAGAGGACACGGCAACTATGTTCTGAAGGTTTATTTCTGGAAAACAGGAGAAGGAAAGACATAATAGATTGGATGTGTCTTCCCTGGTCTCCAGTCAGCATTTGAAATCACACTACAGAAAGTATTATAGAACAACATCAAAAGACATTAAAGATAATAGGATTAATCAATCAAAAAATGCATCGTCACATTAAATGGAGTTAAACAAAGAAAATCCCAAAAGTACAATGGAATAATAATTGTCAACTTTGTGACGCAGGACGGTAAGTCCGAAAAATCGCTAACGTATTAAGTAATGACAATAGATATACCGACTAGAATTATGGAATGCAGTATAGTATACAATATAATCAAACACGTAAACGGATGGCTAAAGGATGGCTACATTGACGATGTTTGGCGGTTCCCGCCAAAATCGCCATCTTGAAAATGAGACAAAAAATCAAAGAAAATACGAAAAGTTACCTTAAAGGGAATGTACATCATTGGCTTTTGCTGTAATTTTCAGAAATGGAGTGTTTGAGGGGTTAAATATAATATATCAAATATTGTTACACTGACATGTTTGAAGTTTTATGTTCGAAAATGCTGGAAGAACCAAAAAAAAACCCCAAAATTGTTCAAGTAGTCTGCTTCCCTGACTCCACTAAAGATGAAATGGATCAATTTATAGTTGCCAGAATATTGCAAGGTAAGGGAACCAGTCTAGCTGGCCTGCACCCGTTCATGAACATGTAACCAAT